GGGGGGGTAACAAAATCCATTTCGAGTCCGTGCAGGCCACATTCAACCTTCAATAGCAGCAGATCCTCGACTTGTTTATAATGCTTCTTATACTAAGGACATGTTTGATAGGACATTATTTTCCATGAAAAATGGAAAACAAATTCCAACATCCACTTTTTGCCTTGTTTGATACACATTTTTTTTTCTCCATGAAATTCATTTTCTTGGTTTGCCTCACACGGTCACATTTTCCTTGGTTTTGTGGAAAACCAATTTCCACCACCAATTTGGTGGAAATTGATTTTCCAGCAATTGTTTTTGGCAATTGGAAAAAAATTTAAATACAATGGTAAAAAAAAAATTATCACTTTTATTGACAATTTTCATGCAAAATTAAGCCAACGTATGATATTCAGTATGGTAATTTAAATTTATTTTTTTTTTGGTAATTGGAATAAATTTTAAACCCAATGATAAAAAGACTATCTCTTTAATTGACAATTTCCATGAAAAACGAAGCCAAATGGACACCAAACTTTCAACATTTTACAGATGAAAAATTATACAAATCAAACACAATTAATTACAATTTCAAATGAAATAAATTTTAGGCAATCAATTCTCCGTAATTCATTTTCTTTCTATCCAAATTCTACTTTTACAATCAAACGGACTCTAATTGTTGTGCAAAAGAGGAGGTAGGTATCCTTTCTTAAACATTTTCTAAAGCAACCTTCAAAATGTCTCTTGTGCAAAAGAGAATGTGGGTATCCATTCCTTTCATTCCCTCTAGCCGAACATATATATCCAAAAACAGGTTTCCATTACAATTTTCAAAGATCACTCACAATATTTCTTTATGCACATATCAAATGAAATCATAATCCACATTTAACGAGTGATTATGTTTCACTAGAATATTTAACTTTACCTTCCACACTACTGAAGATTTGAAGCAGCTAAAATGGGCTCCAATATCACATTGTTTACGAATTTATCCCATATACAAATTCCAATATGAGAAATGGCGTTATATAATCTTCCTTTTTCTCTGACATATGGGTGCTTTAATAAATAATACCAGAGCAAGGCATGTGTGATTGAGAGGGCAGCGACAACTTATGAAATTCAGGATTTCAGTCGGGATTTTGTAGGCGATTTTTAGGGTTCTTCAGGAAGTTAGGGGCAAATTTGTTTCCCTTTTGGGGCTACACAGAAGTGAGTTATTATACTGTTGGGATTTTCCATTTTGGCCCAGTTGACCTAATTTAAATTTTGTTACGTGCCATCTCAAATTTTCGTACGTCATGTGACACATTCCATTAGTTAAAGTCCACCAAGATTAAATAGGTGATGAATGGACAAGAAATTGGATAAACAAATAAGCAATATAAGCAATTTATAGTTACGTGAGCAAGCAATAATGCAAATTAAAGTTGGGTGAATTTACTCACAGTTAGTTCAAGAAAGATCGCTGCTGCTTTCAGCAATCTCTCCAGTGCCAAACCCGCTAAATCCTATTCTCGATCATCCGTCCCGCGAGAATCAATCACGTCAAAACCCAATTCCACCTTTTTAATGACGAAACTTCCGTCAATTTCTTGAGAAAGGAATCGCGAAAAGGAAAAAAATGATGTTTTTCAACGACTTGATTAAACGGAGACTTTCAACTCTTCTACAGCCATGGCTGAGAGAAAGCCCGGAACTGGAATTCAAACTTGGGTTATTCCGTTCCAACGCCACCCTAAATAATATTAGTTTCAAAACGTCTGCATTGAATGAATTAGTTGATGACCCCTCTCGAATTTGCTTTAAAGAAGTCACCGTCGAACATCTGAGTCTGCAGATTGCCCCATGTTCTTCGGCTGCTTTTAGTCTCCGTATTCACGGCCTCTATATAACTCTCTCACTCGGGTACGTGCTGTTTTACTTGTAATGTGGTTATATATTGGTTTCTTTGAATTAATGGGTATTTATTTAATTTTTATTTTTTCCTGTAAAGGGAAGAGGACGACGAGGAGGGGGTGCCGTGGAGGCTGAAGCCCAGGGACACCACGATGGAGGAAAAGAACAAGGTTCTTGCTGAAATTGATCCCGAGGTACTTTTATTAGTAACGCTACCTGGGATTTTTCTTGAACATAGACGGTGTTTGTAAATTATAATGACAAAGAAATAAATAGGTAAAGCAGAATTAGCCCGAGTTGCTGCCATCTTCGCTAAGCATCTACCATTGTATAATTTTTGAAACACCAGCAGCCATTGCCCACAGTGTAGACGAGAAAATCACTCTATACAATCACAATAGATGTTTAAGTAATGATCCTAAAAATTCTAGCTTCTGTAAAGGTAACATTCTTCAAAGCAGCCTTTGCACATGATTACTGCTTACCTTTCAGGAAACAAGAGAAAAATATGATTATTGTGGTCTAAACATGACGATCAGTCATGAAGAGTGATTCTTCCTTCATGACTCAACATCTTACTTTGTAAGCTGGAGCCTCAGTTAGATATGGGACTTGATTATATATTACCTGAATATTCTCTTTCTCTAGTTATAGCTTTGCATTTATCATGAAAATGAATCCAGCAGTTGGTGAGTAAGATACCCAGTAAAACTAAAGTCATGATCTTCAGGGGGATTAAAAGAATTTGGAAGTTTGTATCTATGCTGGTGAACCTTAGAAGTAGCAAATCCTATTCTACCCTTCTTCATGGCCTTGCCCAGCGTGTGATGTTATACTTCATTTTTTGCTTCATTACCAAAGCTTAAGAGCTATTTTTGTCTTTGGTGTTCTCAGGGTTGTGCTTTGCATGATGCCATAAAAAGGATTTCGGACATTGCCCCCAATACTCGGACAATTTCTTTATTGAATACAATACTAAGTAACTGTCATTTGCAGTTGCATGATGTTCATGTGCTCTTGCAATGTCCTGGTTCAAATGGTTTGATCTCATGCTCATTGTATGCAAAAGAACTTGGAGCAGGATCAGGGTTTGTAGTGAACAGAAGTTTTCTAAGAGGGTTCATGAGTTCACTTTTTGTGCCTTCTGAAGAGAGCTCATTCGATGTGTGTATTGATGGTTTTGAGATTAGAGTGAACAATGGAAACCGCACAAGCTGCGTTTTACCTTCGACCAATATGAATGCTTTAATTTATTTGAAGTATCTCCTGTTTGTAAGCTTTAAATTTTGTGTTCCATCTTTAGAACTTTTTTTTTCTCCAGCTGATATTTCTGTCATGCTAGTTTTTTATTCATTATTGTCCAAAGAGTCAAAACGTGCAAGAACTGGTTTGCAACTATGGAATATAGCATCAAGCAAAATTAGATCTTTGCTTCCAACTTTTACCTCGTCATTGCTTAAAGCAACTAAAGTTGCTTGTTTATGGTTGCGTTATGTACATACTTATCAGGGTATGCTTAAACTAGTTGGATATCCTGTGGAGGATGTCATGAAAAAATCAACCATCTCAATGTCCCGGGACAAAAAATATACAAGATCCGTTAAGGTCCAGTGGAAACTGATTTCTGAAATTGAGAAAGAGCTGCCCACTGAGGTAATTGCATTGGCACGGCGAATGGTTCGTTCTACAGTGGCTTCTCACCGTTCTGGGGCAAACTGCAGTTCTAAAGAGTCCTTAATCAATAGAATTTTCTTGAAGTTGCATCAAGTACTTGTCCTTATCTGGGCCACTATATGCAGTTTGTTGAGTATTGTTACTAGGAATCTTTCTTTGCTCAATGGTTGGCCTAATCATTCGAAGAGTAGTCAGCATTTTGGCCCTGCTTGCAAAGATTCACTCACACAATGTTATATGGATCTTAACATTGGAGAAATTTCAATATCCGTTACTCCAGAAAATGATGATCAGCATACTATCAGCTGGAAGGCAGTCTCAGATATTGGGTTTTTGTACCAAGATTTACTATCATTTCATCTTTCTATTGATGCGTGCTTCTTAAGATACGTAGAAAATGTCTCAGAGAAGTGTTTTGTTTTCGCATGTGGTTGCTGGAAGGTTCTTTCTTTCTCTATTCTGAAAGGAAGTCCAAAGAGATATTCAAAGTACTTAAAAGGACGTGGCAAGAAGAAAGTTAATGATCAGCAGACTGTCATATGGGGTGAGCCAGCCAAAATGATATGCCCTTCTGAAGCTACAGGAGATAACCTCACCAATGATATTGGAGGAACTTCAATCCCCTATCTAGACCTTCTTCTAGGAAAATTATGGTTGAATTGGAAAGACTCTTGTTCAAACTCTGAAGGATATATCATCCCAAAGTTGCAAACTCCGTGGATTCTTTGTGAGGTAAGGAGCTCTTTGACAGATGACAGCATCAGTGATCTTAATTATGGGTTTTGGAACTGTGTTATGGTGGTAGGAAGATTAAACTTCAACCTGGAATACTCGTTGGTAGCTTCAATTGCTGTGCTTCTCAGTCAAATACAACACTCTCTTTGCTGGGATGATAGAAGCAGGAGGAATTTTGTTTCTCATACACCAACAGCTATCACCGAGGATCCATCAAGGGATCTCAGGAGTAAATACAGTTCATACTATGGCAACATTGAGACGATCATTATGAGAATGCTACCACAAAAGCATATTCAAATCGGAGTACTAATTGCTGGTCCTCATGTGCAACTACCTCTGGCACAGGATCAGTTTTATGTAGAAAATGAAGAGCCAGGTCATCTAATTAAACAGGCCACTTTGAATCTCCACGATATTGAACTTGTGTTTTCACCAAATTTGGATTCCAATCTTGCATCATCTGGTGCGTGCTCAGCAGGTAATGATAGGGAACCGGAGTACACTATACTGAAGGTACCTGACGATATTGACATCATTGGATCAGTTAATGAAATTTACAGCTGTCAAGGACGTATTTTATACAACGCTCACCTAAAAGTCAATGGTTTGAAGGCTTACTTTGAGGAATCCTCTGAAAGTAAGAAGTACCACATATTTGAATTAAGCCCAACAACTATTCAACTTCAAGGTTTAAGGTATTAAATCATCCTTTTCCTCATCTTTTCACATTGCTTTCCATTTCAGTCGCATATACCTGAAGATGAAAGAAAGTTGCATCCCAGCAGTTACTTTTATCATTCTCATTTTCAAGTTTTGAAGTCGTCGTAGAAAGATGCTGTGTTTGAGTACTCTGGCTTCACTTTCCAGCATTTTGATTTTTCATGCATCATAGACTCTATTTTCTTAAGAAGTTTTAGATTCTGTGGTTTAGAACTAAATCAGATAGTGTTCAATACCATACTTTGTTTTAAAACAGTAGGTAACATATCCTAGCAGATGACTTTGTATTTTTAGTCATGCCCTTCATATAAATCTCTCTTGTTTTTTAATGTGATGTTAGGCTTAGACATTTTCTAGCTAGGGATCTATTAGTCACTTTATGATCTGAGTCCAGTCAAAGTGAAGTCACTTCAGATAATATAAACACGACAAGACATTTAATATAAATTTACAGTTCATTTTGATCCCTTGGCATGAATAATCAGATATTTAACACGAGATAAAGTTATATAATATGATAATTAAGTGTAAAACTCCCCCCCGATTATGTATAGTGCATGAAGATTTCAAGCTCTAAGGTTAAATAAAAGCATATCCAGCAATAATTATTTTCCCATCTTTTGTGCCAAGTATGTGTTATGACTCTTATCCATGCAGGAAGGAGCATCATTCATTTGGTTCAACAATGATTGCTCTCTCTGCAGCCTCACATTGGATGGCTACTGGATTCACTACTTTGATATTTATGGATGAGCTGTATATTTTGACAAAGGTTCTCTGTTCTTTCCATTATCCTGCTGATGCATAATTTTTGCTCTTTTTCTCATTAAATTTGTTCATGCTTCTTGGAGTTGTTTTATTTTGAAATATTTGTTTACCATCCCTAGAAATTGAAGTCAACCCATCTGCGACTATGATTGTAGTGGTTAGAAAACCTATGATAACTTGAGATTGAATATATCGCTGGTTTTAATTCCATGGTTCTACCTTCCGAAGAGGTATATTGCTAGCTGAAATTTCTGATATCCTTTTGACATGTCATATATTGACAGTTAAACAACCTTATTTTACTCTATCTTTTTTGTTCAGGGGATGATATGAGATGTATTAGTAAATTGATTATTTGTCTGTTTAGTTAATAGTTCAATGGTATAAAAAGTCATTGTAATTCCTTTTTGAGGTAATGCCGCTCGTCCCACTCGCTGTATCAATTTTCCTAATCAATATGACGTGCGTCGTGGGCAATGCCGAACCCCACAGCTAATATTAAGTGTGGCTCTAAAACACACGCTTAGGTTGGTTCTACTTTACCAAGGGGCCGGGCGGGGGGGGGGGGGGGG